GTTCTATGGATATCACGAACAATTTATTAGAACTGCAACCAATTCTATCAGACACCCGTAGAAAGTTGTGTGATTCAGAATTTCATCTATCACAACAAAACCTTACCAAAACATATGTAATGACAAAATATAACATCATATTATTATAAACAGTGTACGTAACCTTATATCAGTTCATATTAAACATTCAGTAGTTGGTTGGTCCTCCTCGTACTCTAATAACCTCCGCAAGGTGAGGTGGCATGCTGTCGATGAGGTTATTGATGTAATCCGCCATGATTTCATCCCAATTGGTCACTAAAAGATGCTGCAACTCAGCAAAGTAGCTGGTTTATGGTCGTGGTTAGCAATTTTCCGGCTCAGTTCTGCCTAAGAGTTCTCAATGGGATTACAATCTGGCCATGGCAACCTTGTCCAAGTAATCCTGTACAATACACGCAATGTGGGAAGTAGTACTATCATACTGAAACACAAAGTTATTGCCAAACCTTGTCCTATCATATGGCAGAAATATCGTCTCCGTGTGATGCCTCTAGGAGGTGTCATTGACCTTTCTCTGGAGGATATGTAGAACAGTTTTTCCACCATGATGAATAGATCCTCAAACATGTACTATACCACCTTCTGTGTGTTCTCTGTGGAAAAGACAGCCTTCCGTCATCTGTTCTCGAGGCAAACGACAGTAGAACGCCAGCCTTTAAGCCAGTTCAATAAATGGATTAGTTTAAACCACACACTATAGTGGATCACGTCTTTACACCACTTCAATGAATGGATTAGTTTAAACCACACACTATAGTGGATCGCCGTCTTTACACCAGTTCAATAAATGGATTAGTTTAAACCACACACACTATATTAGAATACTGGCCTTTATGCCAGTCCAATAAATTGATTGATAATTTATATGAATTACGTATTATGCATGTAAAGTACCTTTCGTCACAGACTTAATAGACGACTTCAAATTGTTGTAATATGGCTTTATGTTATATCCTCTGCAGCAAATGAAGCAACTCAATGGCCTCTGTGATTTTCACCATTGCTAATGAAGCAGGACACTGCCTCTCCAATTTCTTTCAATTCTAACAGCGTTTCTGTATTGTCTTGTTACCTATGTATATGGAGTTGCTCACAAGTCCATAAAAAATAGTTAGACAATTTTTTTCTGCAAACTAAATTAAACACATACAACACACAACTATTTATTGCAGTGATAATATAATATTCCTTACATAAGTGTAGTATCTTAGGAAAAGGTTTATGTATTAACATGCGAAATTTAAATAGAACTTGATGTAAGTCATATATGTAGTAAGCTGGAAGATCTAAAACAGTTTCAAATTAAGCAGTGTTTTTATCAGTGTATTGAACGCTGGTGACCACCTTAGCTTAATGAATATTAAAAATATTCACAATTGTTAGAAACGGTCATGTGATCTGACATTCACGTGATTGGTTGTTCAACCTACGGTCGTAACTGAACATTTTGTACAATGTGGTGAAGGAAGATGTTATCATCTAATTCTAATGTGTAATTACTTAAATAAAGTTACACTTCACCAACTTAATATAATTCTCGCCGAAACAGTTGTTTTTAAAGCAATTGATGGTATAAATAACACCTCGACCACACCTACTGTATATCTGTAGTAACCCAGCGAGCTTATGAGTCCTGGTATTTGGCGAAAGGCCTCTTCAATACTGGATACACGAGATATATTGTAGTTGATATATGATTACATTCTTCTTTACTTTCTCTCATAATCTCTTATATTCCATAATGCTAAAGTCTGACCAAACTAAATCATAAGGTTGAACAAAGAGACACTTGTTGATTTCAGGGATGGGTCGAGTGCTGGAGATTAGTAATCGAACACAAATACGAATACTTCATATTTTTTATAAATGCGAATACGAAAATTAATACAGAAAAAATGCTAAGTATTCGAATACAAATAAATAGGAATGTATTCATGAATACTTTGTTAGGTAATATACAATAATGGTAAAACAGCAGACGATAAGATTTCAATATTTTTATTTTATGAAACAAATAAAATGTGAACAAGTAGTAACATTTCAATACTTTTATTTTTCAAAATGCAATAACAAAGTTTTAGAACCAAAATAAATTTTTAAAGGAAAATTACAGATATTATAACTGTCCATTGTTCTTTATGAACATCAGTCTCTCAAATGTCTTGTCAGTGAGGATGCAGCGATCAGGTGTGAAGGTTTTGCTTCCGATGCTAAACAAACGCTTAACGGGAGCAGATGATGCTGAAATACTCAGATAGCAATTGGCTAGTAGAGATAGGGTAGGAAAGTTGTTCGTAGATTTTCCAATAACTTTGAGGGTTGGGTTCTTCAGGAATGCAGAACCATCGAGGTAGGTGTTGATCTTTGTATTCTCTGAAGATGAGGTGGCTGGTTTCTTGGAGGCAGCAAAAAAACTAAAGAGCTGACTTCTTTTGCGAGGGAGGGAATTTACATTCCTCTTGTGGTTTCATGGTTGTAGGATTATTTGTTGAAGAAACTTTTTTTACTTCTTGCTGCAGAAGCATTAGATTAAATTCATAGACCATAGGTCTAGTGAAACACCAGTGAAGTTTAAATCTGGGATCCAATGTCGCAGCCAAACAGAAAACATTTCGTTACTCATACTGAGTCAGCTGGCGTGAACGGATTTCTTCAGTGCAGAGATAAGTTTGGAATTACATCTCAACTGAATACTGTCAGTTTTAGTCATCAGCCCATAAACACATGACACTACATAAAACCGGAAGTAACAATGTTCTATCCCTGGCTGAAATCTGTTGTCTCTTCATAAAGAGACAGTATTGTCACCAAATCTGTAAGCACAGTTCGATCATGAAAAGTAGGTTTCGATGTACCAGTGTCTAAATTATCCAACTTCTCCTGGCGAATCTTCAATAAAGACTTAATCATCTTCATTTCTGAGTTACATCGTGTTGGTGTTATCGACTGAACTCTCTCTCAAGTAGACCAGCTGCTTGTGTCGATTTTCGAATTTAGAACACGATGGCTGATGCTTTGGAAATTACTTTCAGCAATGGTCCAGCTTTTTTCATGTCATCCCTGACCACAAGCTGTAGTGTGTGGGAAAAGCAGAGGTCATGTTCAGGATGAAATTCTGATAAATTGTCTGCTGATTTAGATTCATCCAAAAGTTTATTTTCTGAGTCACTATCTGTAGGTGAGCTAACACCATCTTCCATACTAGGTAGTGTTTGCGGTTCAAATCTAGGCAAGCAGAAAGCCTTGATCATGATGGATGCGTTATCAGACACTTTGTTATATGACACTTTGTTGTTGATGTTAAAGAGATTTATTATTTCATCATATTGAGCTATAATGGAATGTTTCCCTTGGGAACGAAGCGTGTACTGAAAGTGAAGTTAATATGCCGCGGATGTAATAATGACAGTCTAGAAATCTGATGAGCACAAACGTTGACAGTTACTCTTACAATATTAAGTATTCACTAAATCATTCAGTTAATACCAATACTATGCCATTGAATTGAAATATAAATATTTTAATTTTCCTTACCAACGTATTCGAATACAAGTACGAATACTCACAAAGCTGTATTCGAATACGAATATCCCATTTTCATCTGCATTTTAAAACACATGACTGATTATCAAATGTCAGATTTGCATGATAATATACAAACGCAAGTGACTAACATTATTTGATCATGGTGGCTTTGCTTAATCGTGGCTATAGTGTTAGACGTTTTTCTTTGTTTACTACTTATTCATATTTTTGTATCTGTATCAAACAATTAGATAATCTTTTAGACTGTATTCACCCTACTGTTTATTCGTTTTTCAGCATGTTTCGGGGTCACGGATCCTTCAGTTGGCACCTTCTATGGAGCACCAAGCCGCTGCTATATTGAGTATACTGAGAAGATATCTTTGGCACCAATTCTCCATCGTTACCACACTTATAGGTGGACATGACGATTTCGTGCGTGCCGTGAGAGACCTTGTTCTTGAGAGTACAGATTTTACGTATGTTGTTAAATACTACGTAGACAAGAAAACTTTACTATGACATACGATATACGGATTTGACTTTTTTGTTATTAAGGTTTTTTGTTTATTTGTTTGTTTGTTCTTAAGCTCAAAGCTACACAATAAGCTATTTGTGCCCTGCCCATAGCGAGTATCGCAGCCCGAATTTTAGCGTTACGAACACACGGGTTTACCGCTGAGCCACCTGGAGGGTATTACTGAAGGAGGTACACAATTAATTTGACTCAAAGTTTCTTTTTATGTTAAGAAGATCTTTCTACTTAGTCGTATAAGATATATAGTATATTGATTTCATTATTTTTACAATAAAAGTATCATTTTCCTAATACTTAAGCCTCTGGGCCCGGCATGGCCAGGTGATTAGGGCGGTCGACATGCAGTCTGAGGGTACGAATCCCCGACCCACCAAATATTCTCGCCCTTTCAGCCGTGGGGGTGTTATAATGTGACAATCAGTTCCACTATTTGTTAGTAAAATAGTAGCCTGAGAGTTGACGGTAGGTGATAATGACTAGCTGCCTTCCCTCTAGTCTTTCAGTGCTAAATTTTGGGACGGCTATCACAGATAGCCCTCTTGTAGCTTTGCGCGAAATTCATAACAAACCAAACTAAGCTTAAGCCTCTTTCCTCTTCGTGGTAGCTCAATGGTAAGCTTGAAGGCTTAGAACGCTAAAATTCGTGATTAGATCCCTTCGGTGGAAATAGCATAGATAGCCCATTGCGCATTTCTGCGCTTAATCATAAAACAAACAAACTTACAGTCCTATTAAGACATAGTTGTAGTCTTAGCAGGCTTATTTCGAACTTTAAACTTGATATCTACCTTTCGAAACCACATTTTAGGACATCAGTGTTGCAACAATGCGTTCTATATTTTTATATAAACTAATAAGTTAGTTCAATTTTGCTTTTTTTTTTAACTCGCCCCTCACGAACCAGTGGGGGACATTTTTGTTGAAAAACAAAATAAAACACAACCCCATCTGGTTTTTTTAATTTGAACTGAAATTTTTTGGACATTTTTATTGACTAAAAAGAAGGCATTTCCCGCCCTCTTTTAGCGTTGGGGCTGCGAAAAATGATTTGAAGTGGTAAGGTGACTGAAATTCGTCAGCACATCACCAGGTTAAAGACCAAGCACAATAAGCTTGGAAGTCCCCAAATGACACGCAGAATTATTCAGGAACCGTTTAGAACCACCTTGGTAGATATTGTGCAGCAAACCGAGTACAATATTATGCCTGTAACTGCTTTCAAAGTATTCATGTCTGCTCATCCTACTGCTGACTATCGTAATGCTTCGACCTTCCCTTCCGAATCGCGGGTAAAATCGTTCGTATCTCGTTTGAAAGCTAAACATAAAAAGATGATACCAGAAGCATAAAAGGTTGGCAATTGCTTAATTAATGATGCTTGGAATGTGGCTTTATTGATTTATACTGAATTTACTCCCAGCTGGTAGACCTTAGTACTAGCTAGTATGGATACTTGAGGATGCTGTATTTCACTTAAAAATTTATCAATTAACAAACGAAAACTTGTCATGAAGTTGTTTCGAAAAGATAATTCAAAAACACCCCCTTTGGGAGTTTTGCATTGAACTTACTTATAATATTCAACAAATTATAGTGTAAAGACAACCCTTGGCTCCTGAGGGACGTTTTAAATCTTAGCTATTGATCTAACAATACAATTAAGCTATGTTTAGAGGAGGAGCTCGACAAATAATCAAATAGAAAAATTTACTTTAACACAAAGACAATAATTATAAGTGTACAAGCAATCCGAAAATAAAGCCAGTAGATAGTACACGTTTTATATGATTTTGTCCAAGGTGAAAAATCTCATTACAGCATTTTAGAACATTACAGTGAAAATTATTTATTTACGCAGTACTAGTATCTTCTACTGTTAGTGATTCTAAATGTTTGTGTTTTTTTTCTGATATCCATGTTTTGGTTGTGAGAAATAAGATTTCTATCACTTTTTCTATGAATGTAATATCTGGTCATGAAGCTGTAGAAGTTATGAAATTATAAGCAAACTCAGGAAAATTACATTGCATACATTTGTGTTAAGTGCAACCCAGAATAAAAAACAATAAAACATGAATAGCATTTTTATTTTCTTTGTTCTTGTTAATAATGACTTATTTGTATGAACTTAAATAATTTTTCCAATGATAAAGAGGTTACACAATTTAAAAAAAAGTTTCTCGTTTTTCTACAGCCAGTGTAATGCATTTCTTCTACGTTCTTGCCTCTCCTTGTCTTTTATTTTATTATTTATTTACACTTATGCTATTCACAAATTCATCATGTTCAAAGAATTGTGCAAGGTTTATAGATTTTTGTTTTCAAATAAATATTTAAGTTTCTTCAACGTCAAATTGCAAAAAAAGAAAAGAAAATGTAAGACTAGGCCAGGAGCTACAGAACAAAAAGTTTATAGAAGCTGCTTTAAGTTCGAGGCAGCTTTACAAAAACCAGAAACAGAACAATATGAATACCATTTCCCAGAATAAATTTTTATTCATATAGTATTTCAGAGAGGAGGAAACACTAATCTTCTATATCATATTTATCTATTTGTGGAAAGGTTTGTTTCATTAATATTTGAAATGCTTTCAATAGGTTGTAGACTAACGCACGGTTTATGTACATTATAAAGTAAAACGAAACAAGATTGAAAATAACGCTAAAAGGTAGGGTACCTAACCGAAAGATAGCTGCATTCTAGTATTATAAGAAAAAATGGTTTATTAAATTAGCTATATTAATTTTTAGTTCTGGTCTTTCTAGGTCTTTGATTTGATTAGACATTAATTAATAAATATATTATATTATCCAATCTAATCCTTAATAGTTGTGGTGCTATTTGGTTTAATTACTCCAAATCAACAACTTGCTATAAACTAAAGCCAATTGAATACGTGTAAATCAAATGAAGTGTGAGCTTTAATTATAATTAGACTAAAGATATAGCCATAAAAATTGATATCAACGTAAACAGTATTCAACCTCTTTTGGAAGAATAATAAATATATTATTTATGAAATAAACATAACATTATTCTGATATTTATGAAACTTAATTTGTACTTATTATAAAGCTCAAAATATTTGACACCATTTTTGTTCTTGAAAAACATTAACTTTTAATTGGGATTAAATTACGTGAGTTGTTTGGTAGAAACTATAAACAATAATATTTATACAGTAATACATTTTACTCATTAAATAAGAAATATGATATGTTTATATCCAGGAACGGTCTATGATTCATATAGTAAAGCCTATGTCCTATTCTTATTTGTTTATTCCCTAATATGTGATTTTTCCAGTTTTGGCATTTTTTATCTGAATTCTAAATTGTCATCACTATTAAAAAGAATTACTTTTTATTCCTTGGTAATCTATTTTCGCTACTTTCTTTGTGTTTTTGAATTATGAAT